CAATCCCTATCAGATTCCCACACCACTTCTTTGAAGAATTGGTGCACCGATTCTAAAATTCACATGGGATCACACGGACCCTGAATAGCGAAACAATCTGAAAAAGAACAACGCGCCAAAACCGGTTTGGCTCAGTGGATAGAGCGTCAGCCTGCGGACTGAAGGGTCCCGGGTTCGATTCCGGTCAAGGGCATGTACCTTGGTTGCGGGGACATCCCCAGTGGGGGATGTGCGGGAGGCAGCTGATCGATGTTTCTCTCTCATCGATGTTTCTGACTCTCTATCTCTCTCCCTTCCTCTCTGTAAAAAATCAATAAAATATATTAAAAAAAAAAAAAAGAACAATGCTGGAGAACTCCCACTCTCAATTTCAGAGCTTAGTATAAAGCAACAGAATTTCAGGACAGTGTGATACTGGCCTAAAGATAGACATACAGAACAATGATAAGCTGGAAAAATAGCCACAGCATATACAACAAAGGGTTGTTTTCATAATCTATAAGGAGCCCTTACAAATCAATAAGATAAAGATCAACCCACCAATAGAAAAATGGCCAAGAATCTGAAACTGACAAAAATACAAAACTGAAAAAAATACAAAATGACCAATAAGCAAATGATAAATGCTCATCTGCACGAGTAATCAAAGAAATGCAAAAAAGAAAAAAAAGATGCAAATGTTCACTTACCAGACTGGCAAAATGGGTAAAGCTGCATGCAGATGGGTGTGAACACCAGGCCCGCAGTGCTGGGAGAGAGCCAGCCGGAGTCTCCTCTGTCCCGAGTGGCCTTGGCAACAGGTCAGAGCTTTAAAGGAGCAAACCTTTAGCACCCAATGTTCCCCTTCTAGAGACTCATCCTATATAATAAAAGGCTAATATGCAAATTGTCCCCTCGACCAGGAGTTCAACCAGGGGGCGGGGCCAGCCAGTCAACCACCCACAGCCCCTCTCCCTGACCAGCCCTGCCCTATCAGCCCCGATCAGGGTGGGCCGGCCAGACCCCACCCATGCACAAATTCGTGCACCGGGCCTCTAGTCTATATAATAAAAGCCTAAGTAACCATTACGATGGAATGACCAGAACGACCAGTCGCCATCATGTGCACTGACCACCAAGGGGCAGACCCTCAATGCAAGTGCTGTTCCCTGGTGTCAGTGCGCTCCCACTGGGAGAGCCCTGCTCAGCCAAAAGCTGGGCTCATGGCTGGTGAGCACAGTGGCAGTGGCAGGAGCAACAAGCACTAAGGAACAGCGAGCAGGTGGGCAGTAAGGAATGAGGGGTCCCGGACTGCAAGAGGGATGTCCTACTGCTGGCTTAGGCCCATGGGGAGCAGGCCTAAGCCAGCAGGCGGACATCCCCCTAGGGGTCCTGGACTGCGAGAGGCCAGGCTGAGGGACACCCCCCTCAAGTGCACAATTTCATGCACCAGGCCTCTAGTCCAGAAATAATTGGCTAACGTGCTCAGATGTGTCTTTTATGACACTGAAGACCCTGAAAACATCCACATTAGAAAATGTATTAAATAAAATGAAATGCTATGTAGTTGCTTTAAATAAAACTGTGCATGTATCTTCATTAACATGTAAAAATGTTCACAATATATTACTAAGTGGAAAAAGGTATAAATAATGTCAATAGTCCTGTTTATATAAGAAAAACATATTTTTAGCCATTTTTAAACCGGTTTGTTGTTCCACTTATTGATGCATTTATTGGTTGATTCTTGCATTGGCCCTGACCTGGGATTGAACTCGAAACCTTGACTTATCAGGACAATGTTCTAGCCAACTGAGTTCCCCGGCCAGGGTGAAAAATAATATTAGTTACCTATAGAGGAAAGTCTGACAAAACTTGCAGTAAAATCTTAACATGGGTCACCATTGGTGGTGAGATTATGGGAAATTTTATGTCTTTTTGCTTATCTGAATTTTGAAAATTTTCTACAATAAAAGTGTGGTACCATATAATAAAAAAAGGGGGGAAAGGGTGGTGTTTTTTTTTTTTTTTTTAAGTTCTATTGTGAGAGTTTGCTTTTTCAAGTTTTGTTTTTAAATGTGTCCCAGGGCTTGGCTTTCTGGGCTCCGGGCTGGAATATGCGCGGTTTCCTGCTTGGGGAATTGTGTTTTTCCAGGTTGCCTGAGAGGCACTGGGAATTTGGAACAAAGAGGAGCTGCCCTTTTCTCACAGAGCCCTGACCCTGAGCAGCGCCCTGGGCCTGTGTCACTGCACTCCCGGGACACGGAGCCCCACACCGCCCCCTGCTGCCCCGGTCAGGCCTCAGGCCCCTCTACCCAGAGCCAAGCGCCCGGGCCTGTGTGTTTCATGAGCACTGCAGCCCGAGACTCTGCTGGGGCGTTTCCCCTCCTCTCTTGGGGGGTTTTCTCTCCCTGTGGCTCACCCAGCAGGACGAGGCCTGTGACCCAGGCCTGGCCAATCAGAGCCTTCTGTTTCCTTGCCACGTGATTGGTCCAGGGGTGGGCATGCGACCCCAGTCATCCCAGCGAAACTGTCCCAGGACTTTTGCGGTGACGGACGGCTTGTCTCCTGGAACAGCCCACCTGAGGCCAGCTCGCCTGGACTGGCCAGTCCCGTAAGCCCGGAGTTTCCCATGTGTGCACAGCCACTCTGAGATGGGTTTTTGTCATTTGCCACCAAAAGAGGCCTAACGAGGAGCTGGGTGCTGTGCGAGGCCCAGAGACACGGTGGTGAGGGCAGCCTCTGTCTCCTCGTCCACAGCCCCGCGAGGTCCAGGCTTCCTCCCGGAGGCTGGCCTGGCCCGTGGTCTCCCCGCCGGCCGGCCCTCTGGGTCCGTCCGGCAAAGCCCGCAGGTTTGGGAAACTGCCACACGATCCCCGCACAGGAGGGCGAGAAGCTGGACTCACATCCCCCAAAGGCTGGACTTCAGGTTCCAAATCCTTATTGTCTCTGGCAGCTTACACTTCCTGTGGATTTTTCGTTCTCTAGCCGTCCGTGTGAACACCAAAGGCTCGTTCTCCTCCTGTGTGTCCCGTGAGTTGGATGCGGGGCCCTCATCAGATATATGATTTGGGAATCGCTTCCCCCGTTCTGTCAGGCGTCCTCTCACTCCCTTAATTGTTTCTTTGATGCACAAAAGTTTGTCATTTTGGTGAAATCCAATGTAGGTTTTCTTTTGTGGTTTCTGCTTATACTGTCATATCTAAGAAACTGTGGTCAAGTTCAAGGTTATGAAGATGTCTCTGTTGTCTCCTCACAGTTCACTTTGTAAGTGGTATGAGGCCAGGGTTCAACTCTGCTCGCCTGCACGTGGGGAGCCAGTTGTCAGACACACAGACCCTCGGGTGCGTGCCTCCCGGTTTCCCCGGGAACCTTGAAGAGGGCACACACAGCAGCTTAGAAAAGACGGGTCTGCTCAATGCCAGGCCCAGTGTAGCCAGGATGGTTGGGGTCTGAGAGGACAGGGGACAGACTAAGAGAAAGGAACAGTATGACAGGACAGGAGGACAAAGCAAGAGGGGGAGGAGTTGGGGAAGGGGGAGGGCACTGAATGAGGGGGCCAGGGTGGGCCAGCTGCTGCGGGAGGGGGAGCCCACCCTGACCAAGGGGCAGGTCAGCTGAGCCCAGGGCCCAGAGCCTGGGGCTGGGGTGAGGCGGAGACAGGAGGCAGGGGGTGGGCTGGAGCGGAGGGCTCCTCACTCACCCCGCCTGGCTGGCCCTGGAGAAGGATCCGCAGAGGGTGACAAGGGTGTGAGCACCTTGCTGACTGTTCTCAGCTCCTGGAAAAGCCATTGGCCCTGACCCCTCCCCGCCATCAGGTTTACGCCCCTCCACACTGCAGTCAGCATTTCCCGGCAGCCGGTGCAGTGGCCAAGCTGTCGGGGACCCACCTGTCAGGGTTCATTCAGCTCCTGGATCTACCCCAGACCCGTGCGTGACCTTGGGTAAGTCACTTAGGCTGTCTGAGCCTCTGGGCCCCCGATAGACGGTCAGAGGATGAAACCCTCAGGAAGAATGTGAGTCAAGTCATGCAAAGGGCTAGATTCTAGCCGCGATAATATACCCGCCCCCGGTCGCATGCCAAGTATCAGTTCATGTCTCATCTTAGGAAAATCGAGGAGCAGGTACCCAGGCCGTGTAGTGACCCTTATTTCCTAGTTATGTCCATACTTGGATTTTTTACAAGGCTGGTGCGTACACTCACGAGGAGTAGGGTTTGTGTCTCGGTGTTTTAACCGGGCCTGCTCCTGGCTGGGACAGGAGGCCAGGGCGAAGGCCACGCTATCAGTTTGACCCGAGCGAGCCAGGCTGTGTGCCCGGCGCGGGCCGGCTGCAGCAGGAAGCAGTTGCTACAGGGACTCCCTAACCCTTGACCCTGGGGCTGCCTCTCTGGGAGGAGCCCAGGCAAACCCTTGTCAGGTGTGGGTGCTGGGAGCCTCACGGCTGCCACCAGGCTGGCGTGTGCCCCATCTCACCGCCAGGAGTCCTCTCCGAGGGGAGGGGCCTTGCCCAGGGTTTCCTGCATGTCCCTGGGGATGGAAAGCCATTCTGCCCTGGCTCTCTGCACCCGCACAGGAGGCCGGGCCTGGGTCCCGGGGCCCCGGGGGTCTGAGATGCCTGGTGTCGGCGTCTGCCCCACCCCTGCCCCCGCTGCAGTCACATCCGCTGTTTGGCCTCCGGTGTGGGATCCGCAGCACCTCCTTGGGGGGAAGCTGGCATTGTGTTCTCAGTGGCCGGTTGTGGAAAAATCACACACACACAGCCGAGTAAACAGAGACCCGGGGCCGCCGCCATGGGAACTGCCGGGTGAGGTGGCGGTGCAGGCCAGGAGGAGGCTGCGGCTTGGCCGAGACTCACCTTGGAGCCAGGAATCTGCCGACACAGATCCAGAGGCCTACGGGGTGGCCTGGGGAAGTCAAGGGTTCCCCAAGGTCACCCAGTGAGCCAGGGCCAGGGCCAGGACCAAGGGCCAAGGGCAGCACCCAGGCTCCGGGCTCTCGCGCTCTGCCCCCTGCTCCCAGCCAGAGAAGCCGGTAGAGAAACAGCAGGAACTGCATTTTGAACTGGCATTTGGAGGAGCCTTAGGGGCAGCCCTCAGCCTTCCCCAGACTCTGGCCTCTACGGGTGCCCAGATCGAGGAGCCAGGGACACCAGGAGTTCCAAGCACGGCCTGTGCTGTTCAGTTAAAGCCCCTCACACCCCCCAGCAAGATGCTAGCGCCTGGAGAACACTGGCACCTGAACGCCTCAGCCTGTGGGCAGAGTTGGCACCTGGGACAGATCCGCACCTGGAAGGTGTGAATCAGAAAGACTCGGTGGGCGGCGAACACAGATGACACGCTGCCCGTCCTCCCTTGTTAGGGGCCTATTAAGGGTCACCCCCCTTTAAGTGGGTGCTGATTCGCTTCGCAATGACAAGCGGGGAGAGGCAAGCTGTGGCTTTCCTAGCTGGGCTTCCTCGATGGAGTTGTAGCCACAGCCCTTTGGAAGTGGCTGGACCCCTGAGCCCTCTCAGAGTTTGGGCATGAGGTCGGTTTGGCCTCAGGAAGCTACTACCACTTCCTGTTTCTAAGAATAAGGATCAGAAACACTTCCCGCCCTGGTCGGTTTGGTTCAGTGGCTAGAGCATCGGCCTGCCTGGGGTGGGCTCTTCCTGGGCGGCAAATAGACAGGTGATGGCTGGCAGGGGGTGTGGTGGGGGGCGGGAAAGAGGTGGAAAGAGGTCATATTTGATCAGTTTAGAGCAGCTGAGGGCAAACTACGGCCCGCGGGCCGGATCGGGCCCGTTTGAAATGAATAAAACTATTGAAAAAAAAGACCGTACCCTTTTATGTAATGATGTTTACTTTGAATTTATATTAGTTCACACAAACACTCCATCCATGCTTTTGTTCCGGCCCTCCGGTCCAGTTTAAGAACCCATTGTGGCCCTCGAGTCAAAAAGTTTGCCCACCCCTGGTTTAGAGCCATCAGATCAAAGAGCACAGGCCATGCTGCCTGGAGCTACTCTTTCCAGAAAGACAAGGCCAGGTCTAATGAGCACATCCAATAGCCCAGCAATGCACCTGCTTCCGCCCGGCCCTGATCACACCTGATTTTTGTTAGTTTAATAGGCCTGTATGGAAACCCTCACACCATATGCATTTGTGTTTCTCTTGCCAGGGAGATTCTCTACTTTCCCGCCACATGTGCACCTGGGGGCACCGGGCCAGCTGGTGCCCGGTCCCCACACAGCCAGATGCGAGACAGCGTGTGGCTACTGCCGACAGCATGCCCCTCCCACGTGTTCCCCTCTGTAGCCATCCTCTTGGCATTTATGGAAGAAAATGTCATCACACAAGCAGGCATCGTTTTCATTTGCCCTCGCTGATCTTCTCTGGGACAATACTCCGTTTCGTCAGTACTCGCGTTTCGCTCCTCGCTCCTCTCGGGTGCGTTTCATCTCGGGGATGCCCCCCTCCTCTGGGCTTTGTGTCCATCTGTGCAAGGGGGAGGCAGGAGGTGGTAGCTCAGGGGCTGTTTCCAGGTCAGATGCCGGGGTTCCGCTGTACTGTCACTTATAGGGTGAGGGGCACAGCCCCCGCCTCCTTCCCCACAGCTCCCCAAGGCAGCAGTTCATCAGCCTGCACTTTTAACCTCCACACCACACCACTTCCTGTTTAACAAGACAACAAACGCCCTACCCGGCCTGGCTCAGTGCACAGAGAGTCGGCCTGCGGACTGAAGGGTCCCGGGTTTGGTTTCGGTCAAGGGCACGCACCTCGGTTGCAGGCTCAATCCCGGCCCTGGCTCTGGCCCTGGTCAGGGTGTGTGCTGGAGGCAACCAATTGATGTGTCTCTCTCAGATTGATGTTTCTCTCTCTCTGTCTCTCCCTCTCCCTTCCATTCTCTCTTCAGGTGAGGATTAACAAAAAATTAAAACAACAACAAAACAGCCAGCCCTGGCCAGTGTGGCTCAGTTGGCGGGGCGTCCTCCCGTGCTGGTTTGATCCCCGGTCAGGGCACATGACCAGGTTTAGGGCCCAATCCCAGGTAGGGGGCGTGCAGGAGGCAGCTGATGGATGTTTCGTTCTCACTTTGATGTTTCTCTCTCTCCCTCTCCCTTCCTCTCTCTCTCTCAACAATAAAAATATTAAAAACAAGCAAACAAAAAACCCAACTGGGAGTGTGTATGACCCAGCGCTAATCAGGAAGCCTCTGGGGCAGGACCCTAGATGGGATGCATCCTGATTGGAACGTGCCCTGGATCACAGTCCCAGACCCTCCCCGCCTTCCCTGACTTTTAATGGCGGGTTCGGCCAGCTCCTGAGAGGTTTCGCCTCAGAGCCGGCATTAACTCCGGGCTGGGATGTGGCACGAAGGCACAGGAGGACCTGCTGTAGGGAACAGTCAGCCGTTCATAAATTAAGACTGTAATTAATCACTGAGGTTCGAAGTGAGCTGTGTTTCTCCCTTTTCCTTTCTTTGTTCTCTCTGGGAAAGCTGGGGGGCAGGGTAGCCCCTCGGTCTGCTGGCTTCCGCCCAGCTCCCAGGCAGCTGGGGTGACTCCGGCCGGTCTGACTCAAACACACGCCAGGTGTGTTCCTCCCACCGCTCCAAAGCCAGAGCATGAAGAGGAGGAAGTTACCTTCGAGAGCCTCCAGGAAGGCGTGGGGAGCCAGCTGCCCTCACTGTCGCTGGTCCCAGACCGCTGGCTTTCCTGCCGGGCCTGGGGCAGCCTGGGTTCCTCCAGTGGCGCCCACATCCAAGGCCATCTTCACACCCCGAGGTCCTGAGAGAGGGGCGGGGACGACAGCAGGTTGACCCACTGAGTGTCAAGGCGAGTGGAGGACCCACAGCATTTATGCTCGTCCTTCTCCTTGCCCTCTGCCTACACGGCGCACGTGGATGAATGTGGAATGCGCCGTGACTTCTCCGTAAGGTCGCAGCCAGCATTCATGGAGCACTTACCGTGGGCTAAGGACGCGTGGTGCTAAGATTGCCGTCAGCTGAAGCGAGCAGACAGCCCATCTCCCAGCTGCTTTGAAGGACAGCTTTTCAAGTCCTGTCTCAGAACAAGTCGGATAGAGGTCACTCAGGCTGTCCCGCAGCTCAGCGATGCCTCCTCTGCCACCCTCCCTCCCCTGGGCCATCCTCAGGACACAGGCTTTATTTACATCCCTGAGCTGGATGCCTCGTGGCCACAGAACGGCCGCTGCAGCTCCGGGCAGCACAGCTCTTCACGGGCAGGTGGCAGGGAATCGACGGCCTCATCCTCTGTATTTTATTCGGGAAGCCTCCTCAGACTTCCTTTACATGTCATTGGCCATAAGCGGGTCATTGCTGTCGTCGGCAGCCAAGGAACTGGGGAGTGGACAGGCACTGCTGGGATTGGCTTAAACTAGTCGTGGTTCATGCACTGGGCCAGGGCACGCTGCTCTGAGAGCAGAGTCGGGACTCCATTAGCCAAAAGGGGGCACTGCTATGGGGTAGCCAGCTGACAACGCCATGCATTTTCTCAGTTACACTCAAAACAGTCCCCTGAGGTGGGGCTTGTCATTATTCCCACTTTACAAAGGAGGAAACGAGACTCATTAAGTAACTTGCCGGAGACCACAGAGCTGGTAACTAGTAGGGATTTCATCCCTGGCCTGTCTTTGAGAGTGTGCTCTTAGCCCGCCCCAGGGCCTGCGCCTCACGGGGGAAGGACTGTGTCTTCCCGCTGACGGAGCCTCAGTTGAGATTTGAGCACAAATGTATTCCGTTTTGATACTTGCTGCTTTGTAACATATTTTAAAACCAAGAGTGCAGACTTGCCAACTCTACCTCTTCAAAGTACACCTATCTCTTCTTTTGTGTTGTTTTCCAATGCTGGGTTCTGAAAGTCCTGGGAAGAGTTCCAATGTAAATATCACCAGTGATGGAAATGTGAGGGAAGAAGAGGAGGGGGAAAGA